GATATAAGTATATAGTAAAGAAATAAAGCAAGCAACTAATGCAAAATAATTTTGTAATAATATTCAAACATTTAATTACGTTAAATATGATTTAGACAGTCAAGGTAACATTGTATAAATTGAGTATATAATTTTTTAAATATCACATATAAGAAAAAAATTATGGGCTCATTCACTTAAAAAATTTAATTAATACTTTGTTGTTCCACCTTGAGCTTTTATGACTGTTTTAATTCTTTTAGGCATGGATTTTATTAGTGAAAAACAATATTTGCAATTAATATCTTTCCAACTTTCTCAAATAACAGCAAGGAGATTGATTTGTAGCAAGGATTTGGAACTTTGTCCTGGACCGGTTTCTTTAATTTCCACCTAATTTTCTATTGGGTTGTGACCTGGACTGTTGTTTGGCCAGTCTAATATATTGGTATGCTGTTGGCAAAGAAAATTTATAACAGTTTGAGCCTTGTGACAATATGCATTATTATCTGAAAATGAACTTCATAATCATTGAACTATGTTTTCAATAGATGGAATAAGAAAGTTCTCTAAAACTTCAACTTACACCTATTCACTGTTAATGTAATAATGGCCAACTTACTCGATCTTCTATTTGAAAAGCAACCCCAAATAACTAAATTAAGAAATTTAATTATTTCTTTAGTCAGTCATCCTTATTAGTTTCATTAGAACATTTGCCAGACAAAAATTTCAGCATCTTCATGTTCAAACAAAATTGTGAATCAACTAAATATCGCTTTTGTTCAGTCATCTATTGTTCACAATTACTTTGATTCACTGTATTAAATATTTATATCTATTGTATTACACACAGTATGTATTAAATTTGGATTTTATTACGATTGTTTAATTGATATTTAATCTAGCCAAAGTTTCTGATTTGTTTTCTTGTAATTAACAAGATATGAAGACTGTCCAAATTATCCAAACTATCCAAATTACCAAAAAGATCTGCAATTCATTATATGCTTTGGTTTGTATATCTTCATCAGATGCTGAAGCATGGAATGAAATCTGAATTGTTGGAGCATGTAATGAAATCTGAATAATTGTTTCTGGTGCTGTTGTGAGTCTTTCAGTGAAATGAAAACATATGAGAGCATTAATTTGGATATACAGTGGGTGATTGGTTAACGAACAGTTCAGACAGCAAACAAATCAGATAACGAACACTTTTGCAAAAGATTTTTATGTTTGGATAAAGAACTCTTTACAGAACAAACACAAAAAGAAGCAACATAAAATAACGAATACCAATTGGTTTTCCCTTGTCTACAGGTAATAATTCAAAACCTTTTGGAGCATGGGAGATGCTTAACCTGATACCAATCAGATATTATTTTTCTGAACTTTGAAACACTCCATTGTAACCACTCTTTACTAACCTTTAACATGCAGTCTATTTTATTAACAAAAAAAATTGTTTGTTTGATCCTGATGGTCAGTTAATTTGATTGAAAATGTTAGATTACATTAATAAAATAGACTGCATGTTAAAGGGTGGTTATTTTTAAGTAAGTGCAGTTTGAGAAGAGTGTCCATTGTAATTCCAGCTTTTTGTTTACCTTTCTGACAAATAATTTTTTATAGTCTTTGTGAGTTTGTTGGGCACTCATTAAGTTTTGCATCAGTTTTTATTTTCTAAAGGTGAGAGTTTAACTGTCCTATCAGATATATGTTACTGGTTTAACACCAAAATTTTGAATTTCATTCAGGCCTCACATTCAAATAATTCTTTTGTGCACTAGTTGATTTCAGTTCACTGAATTTTTGTGAGTGCTTTTCTTAACTTTTTATTTCAAAAAGACATTGATAATATTATGAAGCCTAAAAAGAATGGAGTGTCAAGAACAGTGCTCACCTTGGAAACCAAGCAAGAGATAATAGCTGAGGTAGAGAGTGGGCAGATGATGTCTGATGGTGCTAGGCAGTATGGTTTGAACAGGTCTACAGTAGACCCAATCTTAGCTAAGAAAGATATAATCAAGAAGATTCAAGCAGGTAAAGGAGTAACAAAAATCATATCTGAGAAACAAAGATGTACCATGCCATCTATGAAAAAGTGAAGAGATTGCTTTTAGTTTTTTATTACATGTAAATAAACATAGCAAGAAAGTATATAATTTTTTTTATTTTTTGGGGTTTCCAGAACAAATTAATCAAACTTCCATAAAATCTATGGTAAATCTACAATTGGTTAATGAACAATTTGGATAGTGAACAAAGTCTTGGAACGGATTATGTCTGTTAACTGGTCACCCACTGTACTTCATATTTTGTTAATTCTAAAGTTCATCATCCATTTAGAAGAAATTGTTTTCTTATGTTTTGATGTCAGTGCTGGTTTTTGTTTTATCTATAAGAAATTTTTTCATTTTTTAATGATTTTTTGCTAGTCTGTTACAGACATTACTGTCTGCTTATTTCTACTTCATGTTCATCTCTTTTGTTAACCTTTCTTATTTTCAAGACACATTACTTTTTATGTTCTGATGTTTCTATGACTTTCATTGTCAACCAGTATGTTTTCTTTTTATGATATTCCTAGTTTATACTTGTGTCAAATATCAGTTACAGCTGACTGCAAACAACCTACATGTTTTGCAACAGTTTTTGTCAAATTGCCTTCTTTAAGAAGTTTTACAAGCCTTTCTGTTTTGATTGATCTCACTTCTAGGTGCATGGTACATAAACAGAATAGAAAAACATCTGTCTAGAAACATTCACTTTATATCCAGACTTACTATTTACATATTGAACAATATGTAACAGCTTGAAGCATATGTAGAACAGCTTTCTTTAATGTAATTCCATGTTTTTTGCCACAGGTTGTAATATATGCACAATATAGTTTTTACATTGATATCTAGTTTTAAGTCAATGTAAATGATTGCTGGATTACATCAGACTATAATAAGGCTACTATTTAATAATTTAATATCAAGTAATTTGACCTAGAGGTAGTGTCTAACACCTATCTCTTGATAAATTTGATAATTATAATTAATTGTTTTATTTATTTGTCGAAACCGTGTCTTCTTCTTGATCCTTCTAATTCAATGTCACGACTTGGTGCATTTTTTGACACTTGGCAAATAATTTCATCATCCATATTTAATTCATACAGATATGCATTTCAGGCTTTCGCCCCTCTTCAGTCTGTTACATCAATAGGTTGTATCTTGTGTATATAGTATCTGTCAGGCACCTTCTGTACTTCCCACTCCCCTCCCGGCTTGACGGCCTCCCCCACATGCCTCATAACTTGTAACGTCTCATTTCCCCAAGTGCTGCACACAGCCTCCCCTGCAACTGTATAAACATTCTATTTTAATAATTTTAGCCAGTTTTTATGAATGTCAATGCTTAGATTCTTGTTAATATTATTTTTGTCTGTAGTAATTTCGTAGCTTATCTATAATATAGAAGTGGACAGCACGCCGACCATTTAATAGGAGAAACTTTTATCATACAGGCACTAAATTACAAATAAATGTTGCTAGACCGACTTTCAACAATAATTATTTTGATCTTCCTCAGGTCGTTAAAAATGGTTAAATTCCTTTTTTTGATTACAAATAACTGACCGTTCATTAATTCAATAACTAACAAGCATATTAACATTTTGGAATGGAAGCAACAGTAATTTAAAAATTGTCTTATGTTCTACTGTTGCTTCCATTCCAAAATGTTAATACGCTTGGAATGGTCAGTTATTTGTAATCAAAAAAGGAATTTAACTGTTTTTAACAACCTGAGGAAGATTAAAATAATTATCGTCAAAAGTGCTTTTCGGCCTAGCGACATTTATTCGTAGCTTTCCTTGAATTTTCTTTTGTATCAATTTTTTTCTTTGTGTACTATTATAACATCATTTTTATTAATTTTGTAGTTGTGGGTTGTACAATGTTCATAAAAAAACAGAGTTGATTCTATTATACTTCAGGTCTGTGATGTGTTCTTTTAATCTTGTTTCTAATTTTCATTTTGTTTCTCCAATACTATATATATATCGATGTAACAGACTGAAGAGGGGCAAAAGTCCGAAACGCGTATCTATGAATTAAAAGTGGATGATGAAATTATTTGCCAAGTGTCGAAAAATGCACCAAGTCGTGACATTGAATTAGAAAGAATAAATAAATTATAATTAAGTTAATAATTAATTTAGTTCTGGAAGAAAAGAATCAGTATGGTGCAGGACTCAAATCCACAACTCCCACTTACCTTAACTACATTCAACTGGCTATTGCTTTACCCTGGCATGGGGTATATATACAAATGTGAACAGCTATGTGATAGCTGACTGAATGGCATGGAGGGCCTATTAAAAGTTGAACAGAGGTCCAGGCAGCATAACTGACAATGCATCTGCATGGTAAGTAGGAGTTGCAGGTTCTGGTCCCACTCTGGGCTGATTCTTTTCTTTCAGAACTTTTTAAATTAAATATTAATTTAATTATGATTATTAAATTTATCAAGAGATGGTGCCTATCCTGTAGGCCAAGTTACTTAATATTTAATTATTAAATAGTAGTCTTATTATGGCTCGATGCAATCCTGTAGTTGTTTGGCATTAATCTAAAAATTGGGGTTAATAGATGTTTATATTTGTACTTTTTAACTTTATTCTATCAACACTTTTGAGTTTCCATTTGTAAGTATAGCATTATTAGCTATAAGAATTCATTTATATTTTAAATTCTCTTTTTGTCAAGGTTTACATATAATTTCGTTTAACAAATTCTTTAGTTTGTAATTTTTGTGGAGAAAAATTGTATACCCTAAAATTTTCATTGTATCTGTTTTTGGCCATTTTCTATTATTATACATATTATACATATAAAAGTCTTATTTATATATTTATATTTATAATATATATAAAAGTTATATTGTAAATTGTAATAGCATTTAATATAGTTATATGAAAGAATAACAATGTTCACTGAACAAACTACATTAAATTTTTTTTTCTGTAGAAGAGAGAGATGAAAGATCACTATTTCTGAATAATTTACCAAAGGAGATTACTGTGGAAGGAATAAAAAAATTATCTCCAGATATTTTAGATGTACGCATTCCTTTAGAGCATGGAAAGTACATGGTAACACAGTAAGTACTTTTATTAGAATATTATGCATTAAACTGCATTAACAATATACAGTTGAATTTGGTTATAACAATCATTAGGTGACTGGTAAGATTTTCTTGTTATAACCATTACTCTTTATATCCGTGAAGAACAGTGATGTAACTAGGGGGAGAATGGGTGACTGCTTCAGATGCTAGGGGATGCCCTGTGGGTGGAAAAATTTATAGCTATGCTACTGATAATTTGTGAAATCTATCTGTTAATTTTTAATTCTAAATAAGTTGACTCAAAAAAAATAAAAATGTAAGTATATTATACTGTGTTTTTATTAATAGTTACATAAACTTCAATATATAATTGATATTAAACTTTTTTTTATGATAAAGATAATACTAATAATACAATACTAATACTAATTAATAAATGCCCAATTTCAGTTAGTCTTTTATCTACAAATCTTAAAATTGATGTTTGCTTTTTCATGATGTTGATACTGTTGAAGATGACAAAGAAAACTTTCTTCATACTTTGACGTTTTTAGCACCACATTCTAACACAAATAATTTCTACTTCCTGATAAACTGAGACATTTCCTTTTGTCATAGACATCTTTCACATAGGAATTTGCATTCCTATTTGCATAGCTACCGAAAATTTGCTTGGTATATTTTTGAAGTACCCTTATTATAACTGAGAAAATGTATAGAAATATGTGTAAATTAAAATTGTTATGGCATTTTGTTTGTTATAACCATGAAAAATTGTTATGGCATTTTGTTTGTTATAACCATGAAAAATTGTTATGGTATTTTGTTTGTTATAACCATGAATATGTTATAACTGTGTTTGTTATAACTGAGTTAGACTGTATATCAATGCATATATATCTTATTGAATTGATATGCTTTACTGTAGTATAGTGAATGTACTAACTTCTGGTTTTAAAATAAAATTTTATCTTAAATTACTTTGAAAGGTATCAAAATAACACTAGAGGCTAATATAAAATGAAACCTTTGCAACAAACACTTGAAATTTAAGGTTTTAAAATTAAGAATTTTACATATAAAATTAAACATTTAATAGAAATATAAATTTAATTAAAACAGCTTATGTTAAAAATAATATATCATAAAATTTTGTTTTAAATTATGATGATAATTTTAACAGTTACCTTTTCTGAAAACATTTTATTTTTAAAAAACGTGCATGTCAATTACATTTATGTATTATACTATAATGCACAATATGTGGCAAAATCAATAAATATATAAAAGTCTATTACTTATAGTGAAGTAATCTATGCATAGAAATGCAAGTGTGAGTGTTAAAAGTATAATTTAGAACATTTCTATGCATAGGTTATTTCACTATGGGTAATAGATATTTTAGATGTTTATTGATTTTGCCATGTATTGTGCATTATTTTATTTTTAATTGTTTAAAATTCATATTGAAATGTTTTCAGTTAATACACTGCTTTCATCAATTTAAGTTAAGTTTGTAAATGATTAACAAGAATAATAACTTTACTAATAATTTACTTAAAAGTTATGTTAAATAAATTTATAAGTCTGTGCATATGTTATATAACTTATATAAAACTGATGCATCCATAGAGTGAGTTTTCCATATTTACTTTCCCAGCTGTTATATAACAGGGAAAGTTGGCAATTGGTTAAAAAATGACCTCACAAGGTTTTTACATTTTTGAACTCGGACCTTGAAATATTAAGAAATGCAAAAATGTTTAGAGCAGGTAAGGGTGACAAATTGATTCACATTCTATATCCCCTCCTATAACAAATTATAAAGGATAATAGTGCAATTTTAAGATGATATATGTCGGATGTTGTAGGACTACGCAGAGAACACAACACAGTTAAGTTTATCTTACAAATCTTATGATTATAGTGTCCAAAATTTTTGTTAACTATTTTTGAAATCATCTAATCAAATTGGGAAATTACATGATTGTGTAATTCATATTTAAATTTATATTGTTGGGCTGCAATTTGTAAAAAGTGTAGAGCTATAAATTCCCACTGTTGTCCATTTGTCTTTCCTTAATCTTGAGAATGGAGATAGATAGATGAAAGATGAGACCAGAGATGGAAACCATATGGATAGGAGGCCTTGATTAACTATATATGAACTTCAGTAGTCATGTGTTCAAAAGTCATGTGATTTCAATGCAAAAATTTTTTTCCTGAAAGGTGTTAGATAGATGACTAGCACAACTCTATTAGAGGAAAAGTATGATGTATAGTGGCAAGCCACTACTAATTTGAGGCGGGGAGCAAATATTTTAAATTAAATAAATTAAAAATATGATTAAAAATTGCAGCCAGGCATTGTGACAATCTCATAATAAATATTTACTCATTTATATTTAAATATATGATATGAACTGATTTAGATAATAATTGTTCAAACACTAAAAATATTATATTGATGATTGATAGTAATTATAATAAACATTTGATTGTTTAAGAACTTATGTCTAACCAATAAAAGATGATTATAAGGATTTTATTTTAAATAATTATTCACAATATAGCAGCTATGGATTTTCACCTTTAATATTCTTTTTTCTTTTATCCTTTCTATATAAATCACTCAAATTGAAGGAAAGTTTATTTTTACATTTTTGATCAAATTATCCTAGAAACAACAACAACTTGCCATCCTGGATTTACCGTTTTTCTTTTCCTTGTCTTTCAGTGATTTGATAAAATTACATAATAAAATAAGTTGTAACTCCCAAAGCTGGAAATGTTTACATTAAATGACATGCCTTTCGTATTTTTTCCAGCAATGATTAAATAGAACAAACAAATGTTTTCAGCCACTTACTTTTAGGAGTCTGCCTCAGGTTTATTAAACAAATCAAAAATTGCCATTGTTGGTAATATATCATTTGATTTTTTGATTTGTGTAATAAACCTGAGGCAAGCCCCTAAAAGTGGCTGAAAACATCTGTTCATTGTATTAAATTGTTGCTGGGAAAAGATGTGTTGTTATTTACTGACATAGTAAAAGCTGATTGGTTAGATAAATTATCGCTGAAATATTTTAACTCTTGAAAATAATTTGTGATGAAGTAAATACAATTGTAAGATTACATATTGCTAGTTCATATTCATTTTATAGCAGTTTGTGTGCTAGTGTGATTCAGTATGAATCTGAAACTTGAAATTTAATTATAATATTGATAATTGTATCACAAGAAAATTAAATTTAAGCACTGTATTGATATGTGAACAGTAAAACTATAGTGCCCCAGGTCAGGATGTCTAACACCATCTGTATTTTGTTGAAGATATACAGGAAACCTGCACATGAAAAGTTGCATATGGGGAACTTGGAATAATCAAATGAAGGAGGAAATTGAGAGATAACGGAACCAGAAAGCGATTCACTTTACTACTGAGTTAACATAAAACAATAAAGATTTATTTAATCTTAAGTAACTAACATTGACAACATTTAAAAATGTAATATCTAACATATATTTATCAGAAAAATGCTTGACATATGACTATCCATTATCTGATGCTATCTACTCTGAGAGTTTACAATTGGTTTGTATGAAGTGTAAATACCTTCTTAAGAATGTCCCGAGGTTTCTTTATTGGAGAGGTGGTCCTTAATGATTCTAAGTAAATCTATTTACAGTTGACTCCTATGACACTGTTGATAATTCCGTTTTATATGAATTCCATGTTGTACGAGTTGATTAGATTTTACAAATACGTGTGCCGGGCTGTGAATGGCTCACATATTTGTAAAATCTAAGTGACTCGTACAACATGGAATTCATATAAAACGGAATTGTCAACAGTGTTATAGGGGGGTCGAATGTAATTACAAATCATTAATCAGTTAATCACAAAGTCCTTGTCCACAGTTAACACACGATCAATTAGACTGTAGATAATGATTGAGAGAAGAGGAATCTTCTGCAATCTCTGTAATTTCATTCACAAGTTAAATTAATGTAATAAGTCCTATTAATAGATTATAGTCACAATAGACTAACATTAATAAAATCTATCAACTATTTATTTTATAATTTATAAAAAAATAATACTTTCTAAACTTGCAATGTAGGAACCTTGAAATCATTGTGTGGGTCATGGGTTTGCCATCACTATGTTAAATAATTTTATCTTAAGCACATTTGTTTAAAAATTTTATTTTCAATTTCATAATTTTTATTTATTGGAAGGATTTTATCAGTTCTTTATGTAATAAATATTTCTCATTACAAATAGATATTTTTATATATCAGGTATGCTTTTATTGAATTTAAAGACGAAGCTACAGCTGAAAAAAATTTCAAACTGCTATCTGGAAAAGAAATTGATGATCATGTTCTTTTTATTGATTTTTGTGGAAAGAAAAGCACAACCAAGAAAAATGATTCAAAGCCAAAACAAGTTAATAAAAAGAAATTATTTATACCTGATATTCCTGCAGGTATAACAGTGGATGATTTTAAGAAATACATGTCAGAAGCTACACAGTTATCAACAATAATTAGAGGATCAAAAAGGTATTTAGTAACTATCTATTTAGATATAAATATTTTATTTAAATAGATAATTAAAATTAATTTTTATTTCTATTATATTAAACATTAAAACTGTGCTTGAATAAAGATAATTGAGTTGAAATTTATCAAAGGATGTTATTTGTCTCTATGTAATGTTCCAAAAATAGTGTGTTATGAGAATTAATGTGTTCCATTTTAATGTGTGATAAGTGAAGATTATTTTGTTGCAGGATGATTAATTTTTATGAAACATTGTTAATTAATTCAGAATTTCATAAGCAAAACAAATTTCATCATATACTTGCCGAGTCTTAATAGAAATGAATTACATATTATATACATTCATCTATTATATAATTTTTTATAATAGAATATAATATTGAATTATAGTATGTAATTGATGCAAATAAGTTAAAATGCATTTATGAAAAGCAGGTTTAAATCTGTGTTTATCATTTTCTTTTCTTTTCAATAATTGAATAAGAAGACAGTTTTAACTTATTAGTGATGAAATCACTTCTAAACATAAAGGAAAAAAATGAAAATGTTTGTAAAAAAATGTATTTTTTACCTTTTTTATTCTGTTTTTTATAGTTAAATAAACACTTAATATCCATAACTATAAATAATCATATATTGCAATAGATATTTCTCAGAATGCCAAATGTTCATTTATGTAGCAGTAGAAGTTAGACATACTTAAACTGAAATATGATCATGTATGTCAAAATTATAACACATTAAGAAGAAGATAGTTTTATATATTTAGAAACAAAATTACTTTTTAATGGCTGTTTTTGATTTTATGCATGTTTAAATTGTATTACTTATCTCTCTATCTTAAAATTTCACACATTTTATGGTGCTTTGAGTATGTGATTAAATGTTTTATTTTAACCATCATATAAACTTGGATATTTAACTTGTTTAGTTTATACTGTATATCTTGTTTTTATTAAATTTTAAAAATGTGTGTGGGGTGAATTATACTAATCAAAATAAAAATTAATTACAAAGCATAAAATATATACAAAAATTAAAAATTATATACAAACTGAAGATTTTCTAACAAAAGTAAAAATGCAGATATTTTTCTAAATCTCTTCTAATAAGATATAAAAATTAATGAAACTTTTTATGCCACACAGAGACAAAGTTTGTCTCTGTGTGGCATAATAATGTAATCAATCGTTACAAAAATTATACTCATTGTGTATTTAAACTTTTATTCAAAATGATAAAAAAAAGATTTATTAGATTCTTATCCAAGAGAAATTTACATTTAAAAATACTGTAATGAGGGATAGTGATTTGGATGTTTGTTATATATTACATAAAACTTATGATATGTAAATCACAACAAAAAAATTGAGAAAATTCCTGTAGTTTTTTTTTTAATCCTGAATAATTTTTCTTTGTTTTTGATTATCTTGTATACCTTTTTAATATACTTTAGGCATATAATAAATCATTTGATGCATTGTTATTTTTATAATTTATATTTTTGGATTCAAAGCATAATGAGTCATAACTTAATATTTTCTTTCATTTCTTACATATTAGTTATATACATATTTTTCAAACAAACAAGTAACAACTTCTAGCATCATTGCTATTTGATGGCTTAATATTGGCAATAAATTCAAATTACTTTATATCTCTATTAATTTATAAATTGTGTAATTAATATGTTTTGCTTAGTCCAATATTAATTTGTATCTGTTTAAATCAACATGGTACATCTTTTCTGAATTTTCTAATGGTAGCTGTTTATATGTTTATTAAGTAACACCTCTCCAATCCAAAAAAAAAGTTCCGGTAAAGTCCCATTCAGGTTATAAAACTCCTTTTATTGCTTTTTTACAGATGCATTTCAAGCCAGGTTAACTTTCTAGCTCCTCTTCAGTGCTTAAGAGTTTCCATAGGGTCACAATGGCTTAATTTCACACTTATATGGTACTATTACACTTATTCGGTACTTTTAGTGCCATTTACAATGCTTTTACCAACATAAAGAATTATATTATATGTTGTATATCCTTTTAAAACCATTAAAATGTAATCTGATTTTAATGGTTTTAAAAGGATATACAACATATACTGTTACATTTTGAAAATAATAAGCTTTTAATTAGTAAGAAACCTTGTAGCAAGCTGTACATCCTTTTGATATAACCTTTAATATAATTCTTTATATTGGTAAAAGCATTGTAAAAGGGACTAAAAATATCGTATAAGTATAATAGTACCTTATAAATGTGAAATTAAGCCATTGTAACCTATGGAAAGTCTTAAGCACTATAGAGGAGCTAGAAATTTAACCTGGCTGAAAATTCATCTGTAAAAAAGCAATAAAAGGAGTTTTATAACCTGAATGGGCTGTGAGGTAGTCTACCAGAAATTTTTTTTTTTTTCAGATTGAAGAGACGTTAATCAACATGGTACACTTAGATATCTTAATGGAGAAGATGCAAAAGATCAGAAATTGTCTGATTTAAAAGTTTGCAAAAGCATTTATATTTTATTTAATTGGGCTGCAATTTGAAAAAAATTGTAGACCTATAAATTCCCACTGTTGTCAGTTTATCAATCTCTCTTTCTGTAATTTCGAGAACAGAATTAGATAGATGAAATTGAAGACCAGATATGGAAATCTTAGGGGCAGAAGGCCCTGATTGACTATGTATGAACTTCCGGTTTGCGCTGGAAGTCACATTATTTTAAGTCAAAACTTCTGAAAGCAGTTAATAGATTAAATAATTCACTGAATTTAGTTAATAGATTTGAATATTTTGTAGATAAATGTCATTTGTAATTTTAGAGGCACCACAGAAGTATTAGTAAGTTTTTGATTACAAACAACAAAAATTGGCATAGAGCAGTCCTCCTTATCAATGCAAGAAAATCCTAGTGTCAAATATTAACCACTTGCCGCTCACTGATTGATTAATGTAATTAAGCATTAAAAATACTTAAAAGTGAAAAAAACAAAAGAAATGTGTTAATTTTGAAGAAAAAGCTTCAAATTTTATTTTCCTTTGTCTCGCCTTTCTGTGAAATTTGACACTGATGAGTTTGTTTACACAGCTGGATGACCTTGAGAACAGCTGGAGTCGTATTTCTGGGGACATCCTCGTAGAAGTCTCGGGAGGTGATGGGTTTATAGTAGGGTGAATACTAGTTGGCCGTATATTTTTAAATATATTTTTTTTAATTAAAATTTTTATTGCAATTTCTGACCCCTCCGACTTAATTAAACTTATATATAATAAAATCTATTAATTAAAAAAATTAAAAAACTATTGGAGGTCGTTTTTGACATCAGAAAGTAGCTTTAATTAATTAATTAATTATATTTTCATTTGGTGCTTTTTGGCAGAAGATGCTTCTTCATTATATTGTTGTTAATATCAGTTTCTTTACTTTCCAATTCTTTACTAATTAAAAACTGTTTATTTTATTATCTGCTTAAAATTTTTGGTTTTAAATTTTAATCAATTACAGTTAGTTTTAAAAAATTTTGATAATGTGGAAGTTATACTTCCCAAGACAAAACACTCATGAATTTACAAATATACTATGAAAATAGAAAGACTATTTGAGGGAATGAGTAAAGAGCTAGTCTTGTTATTTAATCTGGAAAGCCAAAAACTTTTATAATAAAAATATAAAAAGTTTTTAATTATTATTATTATTGTTAGTTGTATCCTACTTGATTAATATTAGTGTGTAGTGCTATGCCAGACAAAGGTCAATGCATAACTACAGAAAAACTGTTACATGCTGTTTATGTATCATATTTACGAATTTCCTGTGATATTTAGTATGGCTGATTTCAGTAATACGATGTATGTGCTGTTTGAAGATGTAATATTTCAAAACTTGTTTGTTTAGTGTATATGGTATGATGCCTGTGCAAGAAATGACTACAGTTACTACTGTTTTTTGTTGTGTTTGATGTTTTGTCCCATATTTTGTATTGTTGAACTTGTTAGACAGTGAGTTTAAGGCAACTTTCACATAATCCAGGTAAAATTTGGGCATTGAATGTCACCTGGATGAATAGCAATGCATTGTGAGGCATGATACTTTTCACATTACTCAGGCCTACTGTCTAGACAATAAATTCATCTGGATCTCTCTGCTACTAACTCATGGGTTCCAACACAGATGTTTGCCCATATTGCAATCTAGCACTGGAGAAAATATGTGTATTCATCTTCAATTAGCTTCTAAGTATGCTCTATAGCACTGTTTTGTCCGTTTTATAAGGTGGTACAGTAGGAAAGCAAAGTTACAAAAAGTTTTATAGGTGCTTTTTGTTTGGCTTATGTTGCACTAAACAAAGCATGGGAATTTTCTACACTTATCCATTTTACTGGACTTGAGAGACTACTAACTTTCAACTGGAAAAGGAGATAATTCTCAGTAGAGAGAGAGACACCTGATGAAATCTAGATATCATCTGAAAACATAGAGGCATTGTTCCCAAAAGTGGTTCCTACAGAATCCCTGGGAGTCCCTGGAACTACTGATGGGGTCCGTGACAAATTAAAATTAATTTGGGGGTGTGTGGACAACATCAGGGAATTTGCAAAATGTTTAATAAAAAATAAAATGATTGTGACCCATTTTCATTACTATGAAAGTTAAAAATAAATAGTAATAAATAAATTGGTAGTCATTTTTATGTCCTGAGAAAAATATAAATATAGATAAAATACAAGTAATCACAAGCATTGAACAGTGGGAATACTAGCTAAAGCTTGCTCATTTTGAAAATGGGCTTTGTGTTTTATTTGAGCTGCTCACTTGCTAAATCAATTAACTCCACAAAACAAAAAGTATAAAAATTGAGAATATAAATTATTTTTTAAAATTCCTTTTAAAATTTAAATAAACATTGCAGAATGTATTATTATATATCATTATATTAAAGCTATGCTTTAATATAATGATATATAATAATACATTATATAATAATTTCATATATTGTTATA